ACCAGTGGAGGAAGAGGGTGGGAAGGGGATAAAATGGGGGAGTTTGAGATTTTGCAAATACTAACTATATATATAAAATAGATAAAAAAATAAATTTCTTCTGTACAGCACAGGAAACTATATTCAATATCTTGTAGTAACCTATAATGAAAAAGAATATGAAAAGGAATATATATGTATACGCATGTCTGAACTATTACGCTGTACACCAGAAATTGACACAACATTGTAAACTGACTATATTTCAATTAAAAAAATAAAAAATTAAGCACCTGCATAGCATTAGCCATTTGTTTATTATGAATCAGGTATGGTCTATTCCAAGCCCTTTATGTCTATTAATTAATTTAAACTTTACAATAACTCCATGAGGTAAAGTATCATTATCTGCCCCATTTTATAGTTCAGAAAACTGAGAAATGAAAGTTAGGTAATGCCCAAGGTCATACAGCTAGTAAGTGGTGGAGCTACAACTGGAACTCAGGCAGGCTGCTTCCACAGTCCATGCGTTTAACTTACACTGGCCCCTGTGCCAATCCAGTGGACTCTTCCCAGCCCTCATATTAACCATGTGTTGCACATGACATTCTCCCAGAAACTTACAAACTTAAAAATGAGAAACACACGTAAATGTGTTTACGCATACATACATACATATATGTATTTTTATATACGTATATATCTCTAATATGTACACACACACACACACACACAAGCTTTTACTCCCTTCAAGTGAGATAAAGACCAGCATTTTTGTACCATCATGGTGAAGAATGTGGACCCTGCATCAGTCACAGGTCTCAGTCCAGGCTTCAATCCTTCTTGGTGTATGATTTTGAGTAAATAATTTAATATTTCTAGCACTGTATTCCTCAACTATAAAATGGGGAAACTATAATCTCTAAACTAGAAAATAATAAGATACTTCATGGGGTTCTTGAGAGAATTAAATAAAGTTATGTGAAAACAGCACATAGTAAATACTCAATATTTTCATGGCATGTATGTGCTTGGACAAATCACTTCTTTGAACATCTATTTTCTCAATTTTAAAATGAACTGAATTAAAATGTCCATTGTTATCCATAAAGTATTGTAGAAATAAGGTCCTAAGATTTTTAGTAATATTTCTAAGTGGTCTGAATTTAGTCCTTCATTATAAATCTAAACTTAGAATATTTTCCTTTAAGCTTGCACTTATAATCACTGAACCAAGAGAAAACAAACAACCCAAAACTCATGAACTCGATTGATGTTAATCACTTATTTTTAAGAACCCTTAGGGTAAGCATTTTTCAACTACAAGTTAATTTTGATTCTAGAGAAATAGAGCTTTAAGGTTTCTTAAACCAAATAATCATCAGTGAAGAAGGAAAAAGAAAAATGGTTGGGGAAGGGATTTATCAACTTTGAAAAGGGAAATGGTTAGAGATTTATCATGTTTTAAAAGGAGGGGATAAAAAACTTCTGATGTGCAGATACACTTTCTAAAATAAAAGAGAAAGATAAGATGCTTTCTGAAGGATGGGAAAAATGTGTTTTGAAACTGCTGTAAATGCTATACGAGGGCATTAGAACTTTTTAACTTATGTGTGTGTGTGTGTGTGTGTGTGTGTGTGTACATACACGCTGATTTTAGCAAGTGCCCATCGTCTTCTGTTCTAAGAGTTATGGATTAGTTTCTGTAAACTGTTACAGTCAGGGGTTAGAATGGAAGAGTTTACGCTGATCAGCAAGTGAGCACATCTGGACCCTAGTCCTGATTCTGCCACCACTAGCCAAACTACCGTTAACAAGTAGTTATTCTCTGGGCTGCATTTTCCTCATTACAAAAAATAAAAGGGAATCGCTGTATTGCATCAGTGGTCCTTGAACTCTGTGACATGGTAGAGAGTAACATGCATAACACCATGAGCACTCTAATTCCACTGCACACATTAGACACACTTTTACCATGAAAAAAATATCAGTCAGTTTAAGGTGCTTAATTAAATTCAAGCGGCGTAAGACGAAACAGAATCGCACCCGTGAGCATTCACGGCCATTAAGAACTCAGCTGACCACGACCTAGCCTCGCCATCAATTGTCACTTTCTTCTTTGTCCACCCTGTCATCTGCCCCTGAACAGGATCAGACAGGCAGTAACAGGCAGCACGGACACAGAAAAGAACTGTGGGAGAAGCGCGAACCTGAAAAGAACGATCCACTAGTAATCTTTTTTGCAAACTGGGAAAGGAGTGTCCTTATTGGATTTAGGAGAACACCCTGGCCCAGCTCGTGGGATACCACTGTTTCACAAGACACTTTGAGAATACTGAAGAAATTTCCTTTCCATTCTAAAATTCTATTATTCTTAACTGCCCTTTTCTCAAATTTGTTGTCTTCCTAGGGGGAAAAAAAGTGCCCCTTACTCTGCAGCCTAGAGAAAGGGCACTTTATCGGGTATCAGCAGGGGCAGAACTGCCCAGAGGGAAGCATCTGCAGCTCCCTCTGCCAGCCTCTCTGTAATCAATTTATGGCCCTTCTTTGAAAAGCAAATTCCTCTCCGCGCTGTTGCCCTCAACTATCTCTCTATTCATGTAAGATTTAAGCAAGAGCGGTAATAAATCTGTTTATGGGGCAGTACGAGAGAATACCTTAATTTTGAATTCCAGCTGGGAGTTAATCGTGTACATCATTTCAGTCCTTTCCATCTTCCGGGCTCCTTCATTGCAGAGTCGAACCAACTGCAAGCACAGAATAATAAGAAGAGTTAAGGGGTGAAGGAGAGAAACCTCACTTTCAAACGCAGATCTCTCGCGGGAAGTAATTAGCCCTTTGGAAGCGCCAGAGACGCACTCCAGACAGACAGAGAACTCACAGTTGCACACAGTTAAGACACTGTACCCAGTTACAAGTGCTGTCATCAGGATGTAAAGACAGAGGGAAAGAAACGTCTTGAGAATATTCAGGGACACGCATCCTCTGCGCATTATCACACACGCCCTCCACAGACACTAGGCAGGCCCCTCACATGTCCGGGTCTCCGTCCATTCTGTTCCTTTCCTCCTCGCCTCCATCCACAGCAACCTCACCACCCTCAGGGTGAGCTGCAAGTCTCTCCCCACTTCAAACCGGAGCAGCTGAAGGCAGACTACCAACTTCAAAGGCAAACTCTTAGCAGAAGGCTACATGCAAAGGGTAAGACCAGTAACGGGGATCCCGGGAAGAGGGAAGACTTCTGGTGGAAACTGATGGTCAGTTCTTCAAGGATGGCCAAGCTGAGGGAAATTCAGTTCAATGAGAACTACTGAATTATCTGCAAACAGAATGCATTCACAGTCCTTTGATGAGTACCTGTGGTATCATGGTTTATAATAAACAAAATATGTATTTTGTCTTTGTCCATGGTTTCTGGCACATAGCCCCTAAAAACCCTTGCAATTTCCTATACGAGAGCCATCAGGGCACCTTTGGCTATAATTAATTTTGTTACCAGTTCCTAAAATAGCTCCAGAGCATTAAAGTGAAATGGGTATCTTTTGTTATTCATAACAAGCCCCTTTCAACCACATCCGAGTTTATGTTAATGAGATGACTTTTGAAAAGCCGCTAAGGATGGGGCTGGTTGCTAGGGGAACCAACCAAGTGATGAGAGAGAAGGCTGGAACTTAAAGCAGTACCACCAGACCTCCAGGGAGGGGAGAGGGGCTGGTGATCGACTTGATCACTACTGGCCAGTGATTTAATAAATCATGCCTACGTAACAAAGCCTCCATAAATATTTTTGACCTTTGGATTTGGAGAGCTTCCGGGTTGATGAACAAGAGCACATGCTCGTACTGGAGGGGGGCATCTCCAACTCTGTGTGGACAAACCCTCTGTGTGCCCAGGAACCCTTCTGGACCTCACCCTGTCTCTTCATCTGGCTAATCATTCGTATCCTTTAATACCCTTAACTGCTAATCTAGTAAGTAAACTGTTTCCCAGAGTTCTGTGAGCCCCTCTAGCAAATTAATCAAACCCAAGGAGGGAGTCAAGAGAGACTCTGGTTGGGTCAGAAGCTCAGGTAAAAACCTGGACTTGTGATTAGTAACTGAAGTGAAGTTGAGGGACGTAGTCTTGCGGGACTTAGCCCTTATCCTGTGGGATCTGATGCTACGTCCAGATGGAAAGATAACTGACCTGAATACACCAAGACACCCAGCTGGTACCACAGAAATGCTTGGTGTGCAGGAATCCCCCGCACATCTGGTGACCAGAAGTGTCAGAAATGAAGTGTTCTGTGGGGAGAGTGTTGAGAGCAGAGGAGACACATGGAGTTTCTCCTTTACACTGTACCTAACACCTACTTAGTTTACTGGCCTAAACCAAACAAACTTCGTATTTCCAAACTCTTATTAACTGAAAAATCTGTAAAAAAATGTCCATAGCAAGGATCACTGGCCATAAAGACAAATGTGGTTGTTAAAAACAGAAGTGGAAAATTCTGATTAGACTTATTTCAATATTAAATATTATCTTTAATATTTTTAATATTTATGCTTTATTAGGTAATATATGCCTACTGTGAAAAAATGATAATACATAAGTAAGTAAAACAGGCCACTGAAGGCTCTGACCTAATCCTGTTCTGTGGTCGTAACTGGAAGCAAGTTTTCCTATCCTTATATGAACATATAAACACATATAATGTGTAAAAATTCTTCCTTTTTTTGTAAGTGGATCATTCAGCGCTTGTCTGTGACTCGGTTTTTTTTATTTACCAATATTTCCCCTTATAAATATAA